GGTTATTCAAATGAAAAATAGTATCTGCATCAGTTATCAGACGCGCTTCTCAAAAATTAATTTCCAAATTATATTCAACATGACATTCGATAGCAAAGAATATTGCATCGTCAAGTAATTGGTTAAGCCACAAGTTGTTACAGTCAGTGAAATCGTTCGGCCGGCCGAAGTCATTCTGCTGATTGTTGAGCAGACGAATTGGATGCATCCATCCGCATTAGAATGCAATAGACATACTGGCTCGACGCCAGTGGAATGCTGAATGAAACGTTTCCCGAAACAACACGTGGGTCAGGCAGTACATCTGACTGTGCAGTGTGCAGCCTGGAACCCACAAATTTGCCACTACTCAAAATAAATAATCCTTTTATTTTACAGCTAGCGTAGCAACCACCGTCATGACATTACAAAAGCTGGCGTCCAGCCTACATTTAAAGAACCGTAATAAATCCCAAAAATCTCGCACACACCGACCAAACCATCAAACATTTACACCACCGCAGCCCATATACCGAAAACACCCGAAGTTACACCCCTCCGGCCCGCCATCGGTTCCCCTCGGACGGACAGGAATATCCTCGCCAGCTCATGCGGCCACCAGACTCCGTACGATTCCTCCGACTGGCTATCCGAGAGGTCCGACGTGCCGGTCAATATGTTACCACGCCGGCAACCGTCGCCATCCATTCCAGTCACGCTCGGACAGGCCGCCTCGGGTGGCGACGGCCCTATTACAGCCGGCTCATCCCTTATTTAGAAGCGGCGCGCCGCCACAGGGTATAGGGAGGTACAGAGGTCGGATTAGTGGGGATTTTGACGCCCCAGAGGTCAAGGGTTAAGTGCGGGGAAAGTGACCGCTGAAATTAGTCGAATGACAGCTAGATGAGCCCCGGAAGAAGCAAGGTTCGAGTTGTTCCTTTCTGTATACAGGAGCAGAAGAGCTCCGCTGGATTATTTTAATGTTCACAAATCAAGCAACAGGCAAATGCTAGTCCATCTCTGCCGAAGACACAATATACTGAATAGGAAATGCTGCCGTCTATGAAAAACGAACGACTGTACCATCACTGCCAACCAGTTAGCTGTCTGAAATATGTCGGATCGTCTAGCATGGCTCGACTGAATCCACACACGTGGCATATTCGCCGTTACATAACTAAAGCGCTTTTACTAAAATGGAGAGAAGCGAACTCATAATGTGAGAGAGATATTGAGCGTCGAAGAGAGGCTAGAATAATGAAGACCATTAGCACGTATAATGAATAGCCCAGCATTTTAAACACGCTCCAGATCCCCGCTCCTTCCAATATAGCACGCACCTAAAACCTTGCGGCGCCTGCGCCCCCGGGTCCAATAAAGGCAGCTAATTAGTTCATCGGGGCCACTCCAAACACTAATTACTCATGTCAACACATTGTCACAATATTGGCTCAATCCAAAATAAACAGAAGGAAAGTATCGAGCTGGAACAAACAACAGCTAGTTATTTCCGTCTACCGTCACTCTTCATAGGGCTAGGTACCAATCGAAAGCTAAATAAGTCATCTACCTACTCCGCACTTATCCTCTGTGCCGACTGCCGACCTCGTCCTAGCTAAAGGCTTGCAAGTTTTTTCTTTAAATAGCTGTATCTGGACTTCACACACGCCACTTCCGCATTACGGCACATAACATAACAGACGCGTTCAATTTCAATGAACCCGAACTTTGCATAACATTAGCTTGTTCAACCGCAAATACGCAGATATCCAGGGCAAACTTAGAGCTGAAATCATGGCTGAAATCAACGATAAAACCCAAATGGACGACCCAGTTCAATTTCACTACATAACTGATAGATATCAGTCTCATAAATGACAAACAAAAATAATATCAGTCAATAGGTCTAGGTAAAGCAATGAAAATCATTCCATTGACTATGCCACCAGACAAATACAAAGATGCATGAATCGACTGGAAATAGCTAATTGGCAGTTAAACAGCAGGTACCTAGCAAGCCTGTGTTAGTGTGTATCGTCCTCACCTGTATAGTAAGCATCCTGGCCAGCATGGGGTCCTCGAGGAACGCCGACAGCTTGGCCAGCTGGACTCCAATCTGGGGGTCCGCCGACGGGGCCTCGGGGTCCTTCAGATGGCCCCTGACCCGATCCAGCGCGGCCACCGCATGCTGCACCTCTGCGCAGGAGATACTCAGCGTTAAACACGGGTAGGGGGAGCTACTGTTAACGCCAGACCCCATGAGACCCTAATTTTTCGCGATTATTTTTAAATGCGTGGAGGAATTTCAACCAAGCTCAGGACATGGCCGTTTCAAGACAGGCCGAAACTTTTACAATTTAGATATTTTATCGCCATTTCAATATTTCAGGCACTTGTCATTGACTCGTAATGTTAACTGTTTTTCCATCCTGGATAGAGGCTTTCTACGTCATATGACATTAGGCTCCGCCCACGACTGCGGCATTGACCCGTGCCCATCAGCGACCTCTGTACAAACGACACCCCTGCCATCTGTGAAGGACTATGAATTTCGCTGACGCTTCACGTGCTATGAGTCAATTGCAGCAGACGGTCAAGTAAATGTTAGGCTCTTGTTGACTCTTGTATATAGGACCAAGAGGACCATCACTCCTCAACCTACTACACAGTCGTGCTTCGAACAAACGTTAACGATTCCTAACAAATACGATTTTCGATGTAGGGTATCTGTTTGAAATACGAGCGAGCCGTATGATGTGGAGCTCAGGCAATTAACTTATTATTGCGTTGTTCGATGGTTGCATAGCGATGTACAAATCGTCAGCTACTTGGTGACATCCGACATCCCATTATCGCATTATCTGCAACGCCATAGGCTTTAAATACAGGTGAATATTTCCTAACCTTATGTCAGTTATATGCCATCTGCCCGTCATATGCAGCTTATATAAAAAAAAAAAAAAAAATTATCAGCGAACATATCAGCATTGTAGAAGCAATGCGCATTGAGAATTTATGACTCCTTAGTCATCATGTCGCTCTCTGGGCACTGTCAGCCAAGACGCTACGCACAACTCCGCCGGCTTTCGGCACCGCTCGACCGTCGCCCGTCCCCGCTCCCCGCCACAGCGAGAGTGACCGCGCGCCGACCCGAAACCGCCGCAGGCCAAGACCACAGAGGCGGGGGCTTAGCTGTGACGTCATAACGTATCGCAGACTGACTGGTGATAGCCTCTACACACCGGATGAAAATCTTGCTCGAAATTTAACATTACGAGTCAATGACAAGTGCCTGAAATATTGAAATGGCGATAAAACATAGGTGGAGAATTGTGACCAGCTGGGGGTGCTCGGGCGCAGCAAATCCGCCGCCGCCTAGCGGTGACCTTGACCCACGCCGCCCGGCCACGGCTCCAAAGCCAAGCCGGCGTGGCCGGCGTGGAATTGGGAGAGCTCGAGCACCCCCAGTCCAGCACAATTCTCCACCCGTGCGATAAAATATCTAAATTGTAAAAGTTTCGGCCTGTCTTGAAACGGCCATGTCATGAGTTTGGTTGAAATTCCTTCACGCATTTAAAAGTAATCGCGAAAAATTAGGGTCTCAAGGGGTCTGGCGTTAACAGTAGAGTTTCAGAACACGTAAATGTTACTCTCAAAGATTGCTATCTGTAAGATATCTATGTAGATAAGTTACACAATACACAGATATCGCCACGGCAATACAATGATCGCTATCCAGCGCGTTCTTTTTGCACTTTCTATCTGGGATGATGTCGAACTATCACATAGATATTACACTATGTGTGGAATGCACTAGAATGACTTATGGTAGGAATTTATTGAAGAGAGAGAGAGAGAGAGAGAGAGAGAGAGAGAGAGAGAGAGAGAGAGAGAGAGAGAGAGAGAGAGAGAGGGAGAGGGAGAGGGAGGAAGGGAGGGAGGTAGGGAGAGGGAGGAAGGGAGGGAGGTAGGGAGAGGGACTCAGGGAGGGAGGGTAAGGGAGAGATGAGAGTGGTCGCGTAACAGCCATGAAACGTAACAGAACCGCCGACTAAGACGGAAGTACCCTCCAACGCACACAACTACAGGGTCATTTATTCGGCGGCCCAGTCGACCGGACGGGAATCTCGGAGCGTGTGAACCGTTCACTGTCCTGGAACCGAGCCTGGGTCGCCACTGGAGCAAGCTGGTAGAGACGGGAGGTACCCTGTATTGGACGCTGAATTGTCCGTCTCATCTTACCACTCGATTTTCGTTTTCACTATCCATTGGCAGTTAGGGTTTTGCTATTCGTTTGTTGTTTTCATCGTTGTGAACAAATGGACCTATTATTATTACGGAGCGAGCGAAGCGAGCGGAGTCTTACGTAGAATAACGGAAATTTCTGAGTATGAGCGGCCGGGGCCGGCCGGCCGTGGTCACGATTCTGCGACGCTTATATCTCAGCAACCACTTGACCGATTAACATGCGGTAATTTTTGTAGGGTAGCTTCATTCCTTCTACCAAGTATTGGACTATTCCCGATGCTAGTGGGTGACCCCTTATGCACGTGCCACGTGCAAAACGAAGAGGTGTCCGTTTTGTAATTGTTGCAATATCTCGGTAACTACTTGGCCGATTGCGCTGAAAGTTGGCATGTGGGTAGGCACCCACTAGGCACTGCATGCCCATGTGCCAGAGTTGGGGTGCTGCTGCACGTGCGCACGTGCAGGGGTCGTTTCCAGATCTCGAGAACGGCTCGACCGATTGCGCTGAAATTTGGTACACAGTTAGGGACCGGTTAGTAGGGTGCCGTGCACAAGTCAGTTGGGACCCATTTTGCACGTGCGCACGTGCAGGGTGCCGCTTCCAGATCTCGAGAACGACTGGGCCGATTGCATAGACCCGGGAACAGGGGGGGGGGGGCAGCGGGGGCGCTTGCCCCCCCCCCCCAACTTGGGAGCCGAGGGGGCGGCGCCCCCTCAACATTGAGGCAGCGAGAAAAGATCTTTACCCCCCTTTTCCGGACTTCTTTCCTTCTTGTTTTCTTTACACATCTAAACATCAACACAAGGCATTTTCCTTGCCATCTGTATGGTTTCTGCTGATACAGTATCGATTTGACAACATCTGCTATTGTCATCCCGCTTTGATTTGGACCTGATTTTGGCCATAAGTTTGGCAGGCCAGATTTTATACTGGACCATTTTGAGTCAACTTTGAGAAATACATAACGCACAACGGTGGTAAAATCGTTGCTATAGGTAGGTATAACACAGTTAACCCTCTCCGGGTGTGAGGGAGGGGTGTGGGACAATGAGTGCACTGACGTGGCGCCCTCGGAGGGCGTGTATGGGATGAAAGCTCAGCGACACTAAGGGCTTGTGTGGTGCCTTCGGTTATCGGTAGCACCCTCAGAGTCACCGGCGTAGGGCCCTCAGAGCCGCCGGTAAGGGGCCTTTGAGGCACCGGTGTGGGGCCGCCATGCAGGTGCCGGTGTAGGCGCTCAGAGGTGCTAGCGTGATTCTCTCAGAGGCGCCGATGAGGGTCCTTACAGCCTTACAGGCGTAGCTGTGGGCCCTCATAGACGCTGGTGGAGCCGTTACAGACGGGTGAGGGGCCTTTAGAGCTGCTAACGCGAACTCTCTACAAGCCGGCAGGGGGTCTCAGTGACCGGCAAGGGGTCCTTAGGCCGGCAGAAAAAGTCCTGTGGGGTCCTTAGAGACCGGCATGGTACTGTCAGACGCCGGTGGGGCCCTCAGAGTTACCGGTGTGGGGCCCTCAAAAGTCACCAGTGGGTGGCCTTTAGATGCGCAGGTGTTGGTTGGGTCGTCAGAGCCGCCGATATAGGGCTTTAATAGGCACATGGTGTGGGCACTCAGAGTTGGGGGTGTGAAACCCTCAGAGGCACTGGTGTGGGCCCTCATAGGCGCCGATGAGGGCCCCACATTTGCCGTTATGGGGCCCTCAGAAAAATAAGTGTGGGACCATCACAGGCGGGAAATGCTCCTAGAACTGGCCTCTCATAGGCCGGTAAGAACTCTCAGAGTCCAATAACGGGCCTTTGGAGACCACTGAGGCGCCCTTAAAAGCCGCAAGAGGCCCTCAGGAGCCGGCGTGGGGACCTTATGGAGATCTTAGTGTGGCTATTTAGGACCCATGAGGTGCTCTAGCGAGCCCCATGGGGCCCTTCTGAGTAGAAATATGGCCATCGTTAACCCTCAGCGGCCAAATGGCGCCGCAGGGCCTCTCGGACCCGAGGGTCCCTTTGAACCCAACGGGGGTGGGGGTGGGGGTGGGGGGGGGGGGGGGTACGTGTCCCCTTAGACCCCTAGCTACGCCACTGTTTCCTATGTATCATGTCAGGTATTTTAGGCTCGCCCCCCCCCCCCCAACTTGAAAATCGTTCCCGGGCCCCTGGCCGATTGTGCCCAAATTTGGCACGTCGCTAGAGACCGGTTAGTAGGGTGCCGTGCACAAGTCAGTTGGAGGTGCCCCCTCGCAATTTCACACGTGCAAGGCCCACCCTCTCGCTCGCTCCGTTAGTCGCCCCAAAAGGCGTTATACTGGTTGTACTATAGGTAAAACACATGTACATCCGATATCGGTGTGTGTTACCGATATCTCTGCGTGACGATTGTTTTGTTTGTGTGGCGTGTAGGGCTAATGTTGGGCGACACTGCAAGTTGTTAATTAGTGCAGAAATGCACCATAATTAGAGGTGTTACTATTGGTAATAACACATATTTGGTATCTACACTTTTCCTCGTCTAGATATGGTTTATGTATAATATAACAACCATCAATTAGCAATGCCAAGCGTGGTAGATGTGAAAGCAGGACAATAATTTAAACAGTGGAGAATACTTACAAAAATAACAAAGAAAAATTAAGAAAAATTACAATAGTACATTTCATACACAAGGTTAAAAACATACTTATCTGAACAAAACCCAGATGATTAGGTGGAGATTCGGCGAGGAGGAAAAGCTGTCCACCCATCCCGCTACAATGGAATAGGAAAGTGAGATGAGTTACCGTCAACTCACCTTCCCTAACTGGCATTATTGCATTTGAATGGTTGTCTTGGAGGGACCCACCAGGCTCTGGAAAAGGCAAAACATGGTTACATGTAAAGAACTGTTCAGTAGCACACATAACAAGCACCTGAAGTTAAAAATACAAAAAGCAAAATCACTTAACTTCACAACTTTATCATAAAGCTAAAAGCTGATAGAAAAGTTTCTGCTCATAATGGCAAACAAGAGTGACATGACATAAATTTAAATTAAAAGCAGGTGAACTGGAACAGCCCTTGGTAGAGCGTTGGACTCCGCGTGGTGAGAGCACACGTTCCCGGTTATAACAGTCCGGGTTCGAAGCGCGACGGGCGCTTGACATTTATGGGCCTCCTGACAGGTATGGTTGCGGTTGGATGTGCGCACGTTAAATTTTGGACTCTAAATTCTGCCATAGAACTGGAATTGTGCGATCAGAGGGTAGAGGGCAGGGTCACCGCAACAAGCTTCGCTTAACAGTGGCTCTGTCCTTGTGAATCATTCCAATCAAAAGGTTCGGACTAAATTCATAAAAAACCTATTTGAAGAAAAAACACTGAACAATACAAAAATAGTACAAACATAAAGGAATGCTTTTATGTGGAAGCTTCATTAGGTCATGATAGGCTCAGTGGTGTTTATTTTCAAAAGGTCTGATCGTCAATAGTGGCGCAGTTGCTATGAATATGCAACGGCAGAAATTGTAGGTTGTAGGTCGTGTTTTTAAGGCCTTGGCAGGTTGTAGGTTGTAGGTTGGTAGGTTGTGGATTGTAGGTTGGTAGGTTATAACTAGGTTGGTATGTTATAGGCTGGTAGGTTGTAAGTCAGTAGGTTGTAGGACATACCTGTCAACCAACAGTATGTTGGTAGACATAACAATAAGTAGGTAGGGGAGAGTGGGGCAAAGCGGCCACCATAACGTTTCTAACGATGCCGACGCTTGATTTTTAAACTTGGAAAGATTCTTTCTATACCAATGTGATCCCTATTAAATTGTCTTTTATTCCAACTGCGTTTCATTTCCAAAGGCGTTCACATATGGGAGATATTGACAAAACTTTAAACCTATAGCATATTGGCCACTTTGCCCCATCCCTGAGGCAAAGCGGCCACTGGCGACTTCTCAAGTCCCGATATGAGAAACAGAATAGTTGCCTCATGCACGACTAGGGTATTTGATGGTGACAAGGTTTAAGGGAAGATGGATGTTTACTTTGTTATCTTCCCACCTATTGCTAAACAAAGAAAGAATTTTCTTGGAAAAACATTTAATTGCATAATTTGGTAACTCATGTAACCGAAAAGTGGCCAAGATGAATGCATGACGACACATTTGAACATAAATAATGTTTTTATCCAGATGGAAACAAGTTATGGCCAATTGGGGGCTGGCCACTTTGCCCCGGCCGCTTTGCCCCGCGCATACCGTCCGAGACAAAAATATTCCAGCTCAGCTATTAGTGGGGTAAAAAGCATTAAAATTGGTAGAAGGCATGTACGATAGCCATGCAATGCATGTACAAAAACGCTTATAAAAATTCCAAACGGTTATGGAATAAAATAACATTTAAAAATTGTAAACATAATTGGTAACCTGGCAAGAAATGCTTTTCCGTGCTTCACAGAACAATGGCGATGGGCCTGAAACCCCGGTCTGGCTAATTCGAACGACCGCAAAGAGAAGTATAATTGGAAATCATAAATTGGAACTGACGCCAGCTGTGGAGGGCTAAAACGATGGATGGCCGCTTTGCCCCGGGTGGCCGCTTTGCCCCACTCTCCCCTACCTAAGGTTAGGGTTAGGTCAAGTTTAACTTTGTTTTTCTTACATTTGTGCCATATATAAAAATGATATTGATTCAGGATGTCAAACTATGCAAGAATGTCCAAAATTTGTGCAACAGTGATTCAGACTTATTGTTATTCATATTGTAAAAATTTACTGGTACGGTTAGGTCAGGCCGGTCAGGCTATATTGTTTTGTTCTGTATATTTATTTGATTACTTTTATAAGCAAAATTTGTGTAATTATCTCAAGAACTTAAGAGTCTAGCAACCTTTCACTAACGCGCATCAGAATGTGAGATGCCTTGCTATATAATTATGGGCAATTTTCACTCACAACTCATCCCCACATGGCACAGGCAGGTCCAGACAAAATTTGGGCCAGTTCGACGTCACTTTTTTATGTCCAATATTTATGACCATGTTTTCCTCGTTTATAGAGTGAGAGGGAGGGACGACAGTGAAAACAGGGCGCCTGGGGCGATTTGATCAAGGTTCGTGAAATTCACACGCGACTTTTAGCATGTAGAAGGCCCACGGAGGGGGAAAAGTTCCAAATGTCACGTGACTAATATGCCCTCTGGCGCCCTGTTTTCACCAGCGTCCAGAGGGAGCACACGTAAAAAGGAACATAAAAATAATAGGTCAGTCGGGGAAACTATGGTAAAATCTGCTATTTTTAGCAGTCTGCTATTTTTAGCAGAAATCTGCTAAAAATGGGTACGCATGTGACGTCATCGTACCCAAATATAGCAGATTTGGGTACGGCCCCCGACAAAAGCAGATCTGCACCCTAATTGAAGCAAATGCGCATCAAATGCCTGGCAGATTCATGATGAGAATAGTGCTGAGAGTGTTCTCTGCTATTTTTGTTCAGATCAGACTATTTTTAAATTCATTATTTGAAAATAGTCGGATCTGAACAAAAATAGCAGAGGACATTCTCAGCACTATTCTAATCATGAATCTGCCAGGCATTTGATGCGCATTTGCTTCAATTAGGGTGCAGATCTGCTTTTGTCGGGGGCCGTACCCAAATCTGCTATATTTGGGTACGATGACGTCACATACGTACCCATTTTTAGCAGATTTCTGCTAAAAATAGCAGACTGCTAAAGATAGCAGATTTTACCATAGTTTCCCCGACTGAGGTAGATTACACGGCAACATGTTTATGCAAAGTGTAAACTGAAAAACTTTTCAGGGATTATACCTACTACAGCTGTGCAATGCTCCCCTGCATGCTAAACAAGTTAATGTCAACTGCACAAATTCGATACTGACCCGAAGCAATAACACCAAAACAAAAAATTCTGTAATATCCCACCACACCTTACCACTCGGAGAGATTGCGACTGACGCCGAGAGAAATTCAAGGTTTAGAAAACTAGAGACGTGTTTCGGAAAGCCTCTCGAATGAAATTATGAAGTAATTTTTCTTAAATGTTTTAAACAAAGAAATTTAAACAGTTGTAATCATACGATGTGACATTATGATATAAAAATTAACCTTTAATTATTTGTTTCAGCAAGAAATTACAAATTGTATGCCAATTGTCAGAGATGACGTCACCAAAATACCATCTGACTGCCGAGTATGCGTTGACAAATCGCGCAGCTCTCGCCGCACTTTTTGTTTCCCCTAGATTAAAAGATTATTTTATACAAATGACCGATAGGTGGGATCTTTTTGTATATACTTTTTACCTATTACTTGCGATTTTAATCAAATGTTTCGATTAAAATGTTTTGTTAAAAATGGAATTAAAATTTTGAGGACAAATTGGGCTGCAAATAGCTATTTCAAAAGGAAGTAATTTCAAAACTTTCCTCTTATAATATAGGCCGCACAAGTTTTTTAAGGGCAACCTGCCTGAGAAGATGTGATTTTATTATTATGCTTTTCTTGCTACAATTATATATATCACTATCATAAATTTTATTCAACGATATTTAAGTTATAGGACAGTCAGATCACGTATTTTGATTGGGACTTTTGATGTTTGAAATAATAAAATGAATTTTTCCAGTTGATGCTTATTTACATCTTTATTGTTTTTGGATTGTCACCTGTCCACGGATATTTTTTTTATCTAGGTGCTCTTCATCGACCCATTATGGATACTCAAAGTATTAGAAATGTAAGTTTCTGTGAAAATCCTTGCTATTTGTGTAGCCGTAAAGCTGTCATTTCCCAGCCTGGAAAAATACACGCTATGCCAATTATGTCTGGTGTAGTAGCGGGATTGTGCCGAAAATTTCAGCACACATCTGGTGTAACTTTGCATGTGCCGAATTTGGCGCATGGTGGCGGCTGAATTTTTCAGTGCAGGGCAACTGCATAATTATTTGGTGAAAGATGGTCACTGAAGTAAGTCTGCACGCTGGTCACTCTAGCAGCAGATTCGCTTTGTGGGCGGCTCTGGAGAGGTCTCAGGACAAGATGTCCCCGCCCCGATCGTCAATTGCTCGAACTGGCGAGCTGCCCTGAGTACTCAGCGGAGGAGCGCCCACCTAGGTGAGGCCTCAACCCTCTGTGTGGAGATAGGTATGGAAGACCTTGTTGAACATCGCCGAGCGTCAGTTAGTAAGTAATATTGCAGTGGGTCCCTGCCCACTGCGGTACCGAGGGGAATGAGAGCGCGGACGACCTGGCGAAACAAGCGGCTGCCCTGCCCTTAACCGCCCGCTCGCTGATCAGGGCGGTTCATTGCGCGGCCTCGCATCGGTGGCGCGACAACTGGTCCGAGTCAGTCACTATTCAAGCCGCTCTTCGGGAGCACGCCGCCGCTCCCCATCCCCGGAGAGGACCGAGAGGACGCCGTTTCGGTGCACCGGCAGATGGGGGCGGGCCACTGAGGCCGCTAGGTCCAGTACGTGCACCGAATCGGCTGTCTCCACTCCGCGGCGTGCCAGCAGTGCCCAGACAAGCGGTGCCTCGCGGCGCTCTGCGCCGTGTGCCGAGAAGAGGCTGATGTGCAGGAGCGAGCATGTGCTGCTCCGCTGCCCGGCCCTCGCTGGCTCCCGCCAGCCTCGAACACACCGCTCCGGCGATTTTTGTGACCCCGGACCTTTCCGGCCTTGTTTCACGGCACAACGCTAGTGCGCTAAGCTTATTGAGGCATTGGGTTTCCGTGGAAATAGAAAAAAAAAACATTCAGACGCTTAAACATGGGAGAGCGTCGAAGGCCCCGGGACACTCTGTCTGGTTGATATATAGCTTTGATCGGTAGATGTGCACACTGGCCGCTGCACATGTGCTTTATATAAAAGTGGCTAAGTTTGGCACAAATCGGCACCCAATTTTCGGCGCAAATCATGCAAAAATTTTCAGCGCAAAATCGCTTGCTCTGAATTTCGGCGCAAGAGGGTCTCACGGGCGTCCGGCGTAGCGTAGGATGCATGTTTTCTAGTCTGGGGCATTGCCTATTTCATGCTGTGTTATGTTGTTGATGTACCTATGCTGGTGTTGATGGGTTGGTAGTCCAGGGCTGCGGAGTCGATGGATTTACGGCGACTCCGACTCCGACTCCGACTCCGGCTTTCAAAAACCAACTCCGACTCCGACTCAGACTCCGGGCAGAAATGTCGACTCCGATCGACTCAAACTCCCGACTCCGACTCCGCACACCTGGCAGGGCTGCGGAGTCGACGGATTTTCGGTGACTCCGACTCCGACTCCGGCTGGGTTTTCCAATATCATTGTGAAACTTGGTAGGTAGGTAGGTAGGTAGGTACCACATAACTTGAAATTACTTGACGTAATGACATGATGTGGAAAGTGAAAATGATACCTAGGTATTGATGGAAATTTATGAACTTAGGTACGCTACAAGAAGATTGAATTGGTCAACCAATTCAAATTCAATCTACTTGTGGAGTAAGTCTATAGATTTTCATCAATAGTTACCACTTACTATTGAAGTTACTTGCTATCATGTTGATTTTATACATAAGAACCTCATTCATTTTATTTGTATGACATGTTTGAATGCAATTTTCTCAATAAGTGAAGAAAAATGTTGGTAGTGCTCAACAACACATTGGTAGTGCTCAGCTGAACATTGGTAGTGCTCGGGCACTCCCAGGCCTATACAAAACGACGCCCCTGTATCGACTCCGACTCCGACTCCTTTCACAACTGTCGACTCCGACCGACTCCGACTCCGACTCCGACTCCGACTCCGCAGCCCTGGTTGGTACCATTGTGTAAAAGATGGTCAAACCAAAATGCATGCAGACATAGGCACTGGCAGATCCAGGCCTGCGATCTGTTCTGAGGCAGATGGTCTCCTCCCAGCATTGATCCAAAATTAATTACGAGCGAGCGAGCGCAGCGAGCGAAGTGAGTCTTTTCAATATAACGGAAAAATCTCAGTATGAGCGGCCCGGCCCGGCCCGGCCCGGCCTGTAACGCTTTTGAGAGGCCTATATCTCAGCAACCGCTGGACCGATTGGCCTGCGGTCTTTTTTGTTGGGTAGCCCCATCCCTTCTACCCCGTAATTGACTACTTTTGATACATCTCAGTGACCGTCGTGGCACGTGCCACGTGAAAAGTCAAGGGTGTTCAAGCTGTTTTGCAAAAGTAGTGATTTTGAGAGGCTCATATCTCAGCAGCCGCTTGGGCGATTGACTTGCGGTAATTTTTATAGGGTAGCAGCAGCATCCCTTCTACCCAAAATAGGATACTCTCGATGCATGTGGGTCACCCCCAGTGCACGTGCAAAATACAACAATAAGAGGTGCCAAATTTGTTCCCATTTCAGTAACTCGGTAATTACTGGGGCGATTTCGCTGAAACTTGGCATACAGGTAGGCACCCAGCAAGCAATACATTCCCATGTGTTGCGGTTAGGGTGCTACTGCACGTGCGCACGTACAGGGGGCGTTTCCAGATCTCGAGAACGGCTGGGCCGATTGCGCTCAAATTTGGTACACGGTTGGGGGCCAGTTAGCAGGGTGCCGTGCAAAAGTCATTTTGAACCCCGTTTGCACGTGCGCACGTGCAGAATGCCGCTTCCAGATCTCAGGAACGGCTGGGCCGATTGCGTTCAAATTTGGCACACGGCTATCGACCGGTTAGAAGGGCGCTTTGCATAAGCCCGTTGGAAGTACCCTCTCGCCCTTTCGCACGTGCAGGGCTCACTATCTCGCTCGCTCGTAAGTAAATTTTTATAGGATTAACCCTCGCCGGCACAGTTGATGGCACAGTGTATATAAATATATAAATAGTTGATGGAACCCCCCCCCCCCTAAGGTTTTTCGCGAATAACTCGCGTAAAAAGCGGCCAATCGCGACGAAACTTTCAGTACCCTCGCATTGATCAATTTTACACCTACCCTGAAAATTTCATGACCCTGACCCCAATGACCTTTGACCTGTGACCTCTTTTCCGTGACCATGTTTGGCCGAAATCGCGATTCGGCGTATGTCGGCTCGCATTAGCCGCGCGTTTGCAAGCTTTTCGTGGTTTCAAGCGTTCAAACATGTGATTTGATGTTGCTCCCATACATTAGGATGGGTGTCAAGGTCACCTGAAGGTCAGGTCAGGTCATTGACCTTTGGTGACCTCGGGTGACCTCGGTTCACTTTTTCGAGTTTCACATGTTTCTAGGCTAGTTTTTGGAGCTGAATTCGAATTTAGCAACCATTTGAACATTTACGAAGTAGTTTTGGCGCCTTCGTAACATGTTACGAAGCTGTCAGAGGCGGTTGACACGTATTACGAATACCCGTCACAACCCCTACCGGTTGACCTGACGTGACCTGACCCGACCTGGTCTAAATGATTAAAGACATCATCTCTGATCAAAAATAATACGATATTCGTGATCAGCACCCCGGAAAACCACATAGCAGCCACACTTTACGACTTTCTAACAGGTCCCGATTTTTCCGGTTTTCGGGTCATTGACCTGACCTGGAAGGTCACCCGATGACCTAGGACCTTAAAATTGGGTATCATCGGCTTCCTCTCGTGACGGGTAACACGCTCGTTTTTTCCGCGAAGCTCTAGCTCGATCAGGGGCCAAACGCGAGGGGGGGTCGTACCAACCCCCCCCCCCCCCTTGTGCCGTCGAAGGACGCAAAATGACCTGTGCCGGCGAGGGTTAAAGAAATCTGAAAACCTGACAACTTTTATAATAATGAACATGGTTTGGTACTTGTATGGTGGTGGCTTGTATGCCTTTATTTAATCGATTGATGATTTAAATGTTTTTCTTTCTTTCTGCCAGTTGCGGGATTTTCTGCAGATGTACAACCGCATCTCGGAGACGTGCTTCACCCAGTGTATCAGCAGCCTGCTTGAGAGGGATGTTCAGAGTGATGAGGTAAGCCTTGGTTGAGAAATTCACCTTTGTTTCATAGGGATGGAGAGACATGGGTTATCTTTATGACGGTGACTCACAACACAGTAAATATATGAAAGCGATAATGGGCTGAATGGCGATCGCATTGATAAATCGTATTGGCACAGGATGACAAATGATCAGGAAAGATGATGTTTAAGAAAGATGACTTAAGTTTAAGGTGGTAGGTACTAGGTTATAACCTTGGCTCATTTTAACTGATGCGTCTGATTACTGCAGGCAGACCCAATTTTAGGGTCTTAAATCATAAGTTGATCTTCCCAGGTCAGGTCAATGACCCAAAAGTCGGGGAAATTGGGAACTAAGAACTTCGTGGTATAGTGAGGTTGTAATGTTTTTTTTTTTTTGGGGAGGGGTGCTGAAATTTATGTTTTGATCACTGAAGATTCTGTCTAGCATTTAGGCTATGTCGGACTAGGTCAGGTCAGGTCAGATCAACCAGTAGGCATCCTGCCGGCTATCCATAGTAGGTGTTAACTGTTAACTGTTAACCACCGCTGACAGCTTCGTAACATGTTACGAAGGCACCTTAGCTCCTTCGTAAATGCTCAAATGGCTACTAAATTCGAAATCAGCTCCAAAAACTAGCCTAGAAACATGTAAAACTCGAAAAAGTGAACCAAGGTCATCAAAGGTCAGTGACCTGACCTGACGTCTCAACAAGGGTACTGACCTGACCTCCACGTGACATTGACTTCCACTTTAATGCATAGGACTTCATCATTTCACATGCTTGAAGGCTTAGAACTACATAAAAAAAAACGCGCGGATAATGTGAGCCGACAACATCGAATCGCGATTCCGGCCAAACATAGTCTCGAGAAAAAGGGTCACAGGTCAAAGGTATTTGGGTCAGGGTCAAGAAATTTTCAGGGTTTGTGTAAAATGTATTAAGTCGAGGGCACCGAAAGTTTCGTCGCGATCGGCCGCTTTTCGCGCGAGTTATTCGCGAAAAACCGAGGGGGCGTCCGCTGACGCTCCACCCCCCCCCCCCCCCCCTATAAGTGCGAGGTTTATCATTCCTCGGTCAGCGCCGGCCACCAGTTAAGTGACCGTAAGAATGTGGTTCTCACTCACTAGATAGCTCCTCTCCATGGAACTACATATGTATTTAGTAATAAGTAAAAGGCGAAATGTTCATTTGTGTTGAAGGGAAACCTGAGTTATGTAAATAACAGAAATTTTGGGCTGTGAGTGTGCTTCGCGCTCTCGATGTTCTTGATTGTAGTTGATCCCCTATAAAGACTCTTATTTTTAATTGTTTCGCCTAGCTTAGAAACCTACCGAGCATTTGTTCTCGGTAAAACCCACCATTCATTTCACATTGTATATTTTTCAGATATTGCGAAATGCCAATAAACCGATAACTATTTGAGACAAAAATTTACCCCATTTATCGCGTGCAGATAGCGCTTGAACCTTTTCGATCACCAGCACACAATCGGCTTGTCAATTGTCCACTGCTATTGTGAAATACCGACGTCGCTATCATTGCTTGTGAGCATGTCATTCCCAGGTCGCCTGATGGCCGTGTTTCTCCTTTCAGGTCGCATGTGTGCAGCGCTGTGCGGATAAACACATCAACAGCAACCAGAAGATAATGCAGGTGTTTATGGAGGTGCAGCCCCAGGTGGTGGCGAAGCGGATGGAGAAGATGGAGCAGCAGATGGCTGAGACACAGGCGGCGGAATCGGCGGAGGCTCAGCCACAGACGGCGGAGGCGACAGAGGTTCAGCCACAGGCGGCAGTAGAGTCGGCGCAGGCTGAGGCGGTCGCTCAGTGAACGGAGATCACTGCTTGGTTGGGTGCACAAGAGCGAACTTTGCGAACAAACTAAACGTTCGTGTCGTCGTCGACTTGAGTGAGCAGTGAAAGTGTTGCGTTCTACGTGCTACAGAACATTGCTACGGTACATTGATACGAACAGTGCTACGGTATATTGATACGAACAGTGTTACGGTACATTGATGCGAACAGTGCTACGGTACAGTGCTACGGTACAGTGCTACAGAACAGTGTTGCGGAGCGCTCTGTGATGTTGCTACGTATCGTGAGAGCCGCCGCTCCCGCCGCCGGCAGGCTGGTTGCCTGTCGCGCCGCCGTCGTCTCGAGGCTTCATCGCTGCGTCACACCAACTCTCTCCCTCTCCCCGCGTGTCCGCCTCTGCCACTCTGCCCCCGCGGAGTCCGCATCGACTCAGCCCCTGACGAAGGTGCAACCCCGGCTGGCGCTGGCCTTCACATGTAAGGTGTGCAACACTCGCGTACAGAAGCTGATCTCGCGGTTATCGTACGAACGCGGTGTGGTCATAGTCGAGTGTGACGGCTGCCGCAACCGCCACCTCATCGCCGACCACCTCGGCTGGTTCAAACACGTCCAGGGCCGGACGGTGGAGGAGATCCTGGCACAAAAGGGCGAAAAAGTGACGCGTGTGGGGTTCGAACAGGGTGCGTTCGAAGTGGTACCGCCTCAGGAGAGTGATACGGACGCGACGGTAGTGCCGCCCGCTCCGGCGTCGGAGACTGAGAGGTAGCAGCGTCGGAGTAGTGGCGGCATCTGTGTGAGTCCAAGGTGGCGCTGCGCCCGCGGGGGTAGTAGTGTGTTGTCTGGTGCGATATTCGGCCGTCCGCTAGCGACCTCTGTGATGGACCTTAGTCGATCAATGCCATAGATAAGTAGTGGTTATGTTTGTGGTGCTCGAAGGACGCCTTCGTGTCGTCATTTCTTGAGGAAACTGCAAGTCGGGCTCTCCATCACAGCTCAACTCGAACTAGTCTGAACTCGCGAGTTCAGCACTCGTCAGAAAGACCGAGCTGGCGCCTCTGCCGCGCACAATGCCCTCCTGTCTGCTGATTCTGATCGGTCTCCCGGGCAGTGGTAAAACCTCCCTAGCCCGTAAACTCCAGCTCGCTCTCTCCCGACAGTACCGCGTCGTTCACGTCGAGTACGACGCTGTCGTCGATCTCTCCGAACAGGCTCGTCTTCAGGCCGCCGCCGCCGCGGGGGAGGGAGACGAAGGCTGGCGAAATGCCAGGAGGGAGCTCGAACGCGCTGTGGAAGAAGTGATTACCAGCGGGGACATACCAGAGTTCATCAACGGTGCCAATATGAAAGATAATGGAAGTGATGGCGTCACTGAAGAATCCACTGAGGCTGAACGTCCAACGGTATTTATCATCGATGACAACATGTATCTACGCAGTATGCGGTATCGCTACTTCCAGCTGGCTCGCCGGCATCAGCTTGGATATGCTGTTGTCCTGCTGGATGTGCCGGTGACAGAGTGTCTTCGGCGGAACGCTGCCCGGGATAGGCCCGTGCCTGATGCTGCCATTGAGGTGATGGCAGAGAAGTTGGAGCGACCCGACCCGGCTCGGCTGTGGGAGTCGAGATCAGTGGTGCTAGCTGGAGCTGTAACATCAGAAGGAGCGTCTGTGGATCAGGAGATAAAGAGAGTGACTGAGCGTCTGGGCAGAGTGGAGGGAAAGCTTGAGACAGTGGAAGAATCAAGGTTGCCGGCTGGCACAAAACGCTCTGAAGAATCATCGAATTCGCCCTTAGGGAAGGACTCCGTTAGCATAAGCCCACCATCGAACGACCCTGTCTCAATTGTATCAGAGCTGGTATCCCACGCTCTCGCCTCTCCCGTCGCTCCTCTAGTTGATAACAGTCTGGAAGTTGAAGCATCCCGCCTCATCTGCTCCACGTCCCAGCTACATCAGCTCGACCGGCAACTTCGCCGACTAGTGGGAGAGCATGCCGCCGGCTGCGGCGTCCGAGCGCGAGCGGCCAACCTGGCGCGGCAGAAACTGATGCGTCGGGTTCGTGCCGGCGAGGTGGGTCTGGCTGTGGAGCCGGGAGAGGATGGGAGGTTTGCTAAGGCCGCGAGGGTGTTGTTTGAGGCAGAGTTGGCGGCAGGGACAGAGTAAAAGAGCTGGAGAGAGTGGACTTGCCATGGGCTGTGGTCTGGTGTAACTGTTGAAGTATTTGAGCGAGTGTGCGTTGTTGTGTGTTGACTGTTGACTGACATTGTCGTGCTTATAGGACGGGTCAGTATTGTACTATTTTGTTGAGTGTTTTGTATGAATACACATGCAGGCCTAATGATTAGTGTGTACTGAGCAATGAACTTATTGCATATTGCAGTCGTATGATCCGACACAATGCCTGCGTAGCATCGTGATTTGCGCGAATTCGTTACTCTAGTCTAACTTTATACGGCTTCTAGAACATCTAACAGCTCTGTGGTGTCAGGTGTGAACAATGCTCGCTACATGTCTCACCTTTTTACATACAGTGACACGGACGCTAAAACTCGACGGTCTATAAAGCACCACGCTTGTTAAAGGCATCCATCGAGGCATGAAGTGTTCGGCACGTCTCGACAATTACCGACATGGTTCGACAGGAAACGTGATTGAATGATATCTCCTCGCATCACGACGGCGACAGTCCAGTCCGCCGTGGACTCGGGACCGTGGAGGCATGCTACCGATGGCGGTGATAACAATTTATGTTCATAAATGAAGCGGATGTTCTTAACATTTAGTTCCAATGTTTCATATTACTCGGATACTTGAGAAAACGAAGCGATGGGGATGTAGGAATGGATTAGGGTGTTGCGATGAAGAGGGTTTGCCGACTACGTGCATGAGTTATCATATCTTTACCTCAGGCAGGCATTTTTTGACGCTGTTAGTCCATTAGACCGAATTCATCAGGAAGTAACTGAACGCGATGGTATCTCTTTGTCTCGGAAGATTCGTTTTGAGACGTCCTTTTGTTCACACTGATGGACTGGTTTATCCATCAACAGAAGGTGTAAAAACTGAAGGACACATATTGTGATAGCATCTACCACATACGGGAATGATTTAAAATGATACACCTGACAAAAAGCAGGACGTGCTCAGGCGTATTTCATCATGTGGGAACTTAAAACGCTCAGAAGTCACCGATTAGATAGAAGAGAATGTCGCTATGTTCGCTGGGGCTGTCGACTGCTCCTTTATCACTCCTGCAGGAAATCGAATGACACCGTGACAAAGGCGCTGGCACCTACAGGGTGGGGCAGCATAATCGGGAAAAAATATCGGACGAATTCATCTGGTCGTGTATTTAAAGATACAGCTCCAAGGACCGTTCTAGCAGCATAGCACCACTCTGTCACCCTTTCCCTACAAGTCACTCGATGTGATCGCCCTCCGCGTCGATGACCCTCTCTAGGCGCCTCCGGAAGCACGCGCACGCACGTGCAACCTCCTGCTTGTCCATTCCTCTCATTACTGCTGCAATCTTACGCCGAAGAGTGTCTCTGCTGGTGGCAGGGTGTTCGTTGACCTTCGATTCAACAACGCTCCACATATAATAATCCATCGGATTTAAATCGGGAGAGTTGGGGGGCCAGAAGTCTTTGGTCCACACCAACTGGAGGTGCCTTACACACCATTCTTGCGTCCTCCTTGCAGTATGAGCAGGGGCCGAGTCCTGCTGAAACACGTATGGTGAACCTTCTGTGACCCTTTCTATCCACGGCTTGACGTGAGTCTCTAGAGCGCGGATGTACACATCCGAGGTAACCATTTCTCCAGGTTCAAAGAAGAAGGGGGGCATCACGTGCCCCATGCTCGAGATCGCTCCTAGAACCATCACCCCAGTGGGATGTTTGCTACGCATGACCACAGGCACCTTGTCGATGTCATCCCCTATGTATCTGTCATTCCTTCTGTTGGTCTTCTGATCAGTGGTAAAAAGTTTTTCGTCACTGAAGATCCGAATCTTGTCCTTTGCATTCTTCTTCAATGAGTTCAAAAGCTTCTTTCCGAGACCCACGCGTTTACTCTTCATTTCCTCATTTAGGAATTGTTTCACGCGAAGTACGTAGGACTTCAGGCCTAAGTCCTCATGCACAATCCTTCTCAGTGTCCTTGATGAGACGTTGACCTGCTGGGCGATCTTTCTCATTGATTTGTAGGGGTTCAATGAGATGATCTTCTTGACCCTCCTGATGAGAGCGGACTTTCTCTTCCTTCCCGGACCGGTCCGGGTTTTCCTGCCCGCCAACGCATAGCTGAGCTGACCTGGCCCATCGCCACCGCCACCATTCAGCTCCAGATGTCTGAGTTTGGCAGCATGACGTTTTCTGATGGCGTACACAGTGCTCTTGGGTATGTTTAAGAACGTTGAAATCTCCAGAGGGGTGCGGCGCGCGCAGAGGGCTGCGAGCACTGCCGACCTTTTTTGTTGCTCATTTCCACGAGGTGTCATGCTCATGGGCCCAGTCATGTCACACGACGCACAACTCTTGGGCGATTCATTATGTTGACCTAAGTTATCATAAAAGTATCGTGCATCCACGTGACAAGGGCCTAAAAAGCGTTCCCGATTATGCTGCCCCACCCTGTATGTATACGTGTTTTCGCATCGCATTGCCATGCGTCTATCTTCCGGGTTCGCGCCCTGCAAAACCACCAGTCGAATGCGTCTCCTCACGTGCATTGCTTCCGTGACCTATTAAACTCCCCACCGCGTCCCATTCCAGCCGATTAATGTCTCGTTCCGCGCCCCTCGAATCACCTCATGTGTCATTCTGTAATCCCTTTTAGCCGCAGCATGTGGGCCCAGCTGCCAGTACCGTGTGCAGCTGCCACACTGGGTCACTGACCTCTTGGTGTCACCAACTGTGCGCACGTGCACTGATCCGTCCGTGACGGGGCGCAGGCACGTCTCGCTCAGCCGAGTGGGGCTCTGTGGGCCGCTGACATGTCGATCACAGTCTCGAGCTCGGGTGGTGCGTTCACCACCCCCGGTTTTTGCGGGCCGATTTCGACAGATGGCAATCAGTCGGTTTATAGTCCGAGATGGAAGTCAACACTGACGGCTCTGGTTGGGATGTTTGAAAGGGCTAATGGATGGATCGGGTGCTAAGTGACCTAGACAGGTAAACAGCCCTTTCGTCAACACATCGCCAACTTTTTTGGGTGAGAGAGGGTCTCTCGTCTCCATATGCAAGTGGACGTTTGCCGGGTCAGCATCACTTATTTATTAGATGTGTTCGCTATCGATCACGTGGATTCAGTCACTCACAAAATGACGATATGGACGAATTCCTCTTCCGCCTGCTTCATTCAACCTTGATTCTATTCATCAATCCGATCCCTTGGATCAAAAGCTTACCGTCCTTATGTCAAACATCATCGGGAACTCCTAATGCGCTCACTCAAGCTGTCTTACGCAAGTGACGAATGAACCCGACGGTTAGTCAGGCCGCGACGAAGACCGTGCTGGAATCTGGTTGAAGATTTCTGATACGCGGAAGTATGGAGCTTGTAACGCAAAGGACTATCGCATTCACATGTTCAATGTGGGTGATCTAAAATACCTATTGTGCCTGCTCACTTTGCACGTACAATAAAATTTACGTGCAAACGGCTTGCCTTACCTAAGGCTATACGATACGGTATGCCAAACTATAAGTAAAGTAATCTTGTGCCAGGGTTGTGGAATGGCATGTAACACAATAGGTATGCGTAACATTAGCGTCGCCACGGGGGGGGGGGGGCAAGCGGGGCAGCTTGCCCCCCCAACCTCGGACCGGGCACCCCCTGAGATCGATACAGATCCGATGAGATTTTGGAGTCGGGAAAAAATGGGGGTATCTTTCTGAGAATGCCTGTGAGGTCAGACTCGTTCAAGCCAGAGTCGGAGTCGCAGTCGCCAACATCGTCAAAACACCGACTCCAGACTCGGAAGTGTCAATACTGTGATTCATTTCATGTTCCTCGTTGGTTTTTTATTACATTTTATAGCTGATTTTCATAAGCTTTGAAGTGCTGATACAAAATTTGCGTTCAAAGCGTGACACTGAATCTTCGGGCCTTTCTCAACTCTCGTCACATGTCTGCGACAGACTCAAGTACCGTTCAAGTGCCACAGGGCTCATGACTGCTTGCTTTTCACACAGGCTCCGAAGGAGCTCCACTGAGCTCTAAGAAGCCTTCAGAGGGCCCAAACCGGCCTCTGAGAGTCCCACTGGTGTTCATATTCTCTGAGGGCCCATACAGGAATGTTTGAGGACCTTACACATGCGTAGACCTCTGAAGGGCCACACGGATCTTTGAGGATACTTTTAAATATTTCTGAGAACCTTAGGCCTCTGATAGCTCAGCCGAGCTTTTGAGGCGACAGATTTTGCTGAGCCTAAGCCTGCAGTTTAGGGGTCACGACTCGGGTGTGCCTCTGAGGGTCCCAGCACATGTTTCTTATGTCCCTATGTAGGGTCCTTAGGGATTCGACACAGACCTCCAGGGTTCACACTGCTATTTGAGGGCTCCCTGCTCACCCTGGGCCTGGTCTCTTAGCGCCCGCCGCCGGCGCCGCCCACACTGGCTTCTGAGGGTCCCACCTTGGGCTCGGAAAGCCCTAAAGCACCACATATGTACACGTAACTATTTGGGGTGACCAGCGCCGATTTTCAGGATCCTAAGCAGGCTTCTGAGAGCCCACACTGACCCTGAGTGGCCTAAAATGGCCTGGAAGTCCCAAGCCTATCGCTAAAGGATCCCTTGCTGCTATGCCGTGCGAAATTTTGGTTCCGTTAAACGTCTTTTCTTCGCGTTTGCAGCGCTTCCCTACACACGAAAAACGAGAAACTTTTTGTTCACACTACACCTCCTCTCACTGGAGCAAAGATGAATTACTTCCGATTCACACTTCCGACATTCACTCTCCGCTGAAAGCCCTACTTAGCTTCAATCGGCGGCTGGGATAAGCCCTATGCATTTTACGTAGAACCTCTGCATGCATGCGTGAATGAAAGTTTCAGCAAGGTGATTCGTTTAAGCTGAGCGTTTAACCTTTTTATGATCATGAGCGACGAGCGTCTGCACAGGGGCTCTCCAGAGTGCGTCGGCAAGCGCAGCCATTGTGATTCTACCGGTCGTTTTTTGTTCAAAAATTTAAAAAAATTAAATTTTCTGTAAAAAAATGGCAAGTCATAGCTACAAGGAAAACCTTGTCACCATCGTATTCCTCGCACCATTGCGCGTTGAATGATATGTAAAATGAATGAGTAACGACTGGAGGAAGGCAAGATTTAACACAAAA